GCTTTGACAGCCACTCACAGTGGTGGGCCCAAGGTGAATAAACAATTTCAAAAAAAAAAAAGGTGGCCCCCACCATGTTGTGAGTCTAGGTCAGCCTTTCTGTCAAAATTTTACTATCACCATCGTTTGGTTCATTACCTGAACAAGTTGCATATTTTGATCATCTAAAAAGTCAATTCCATCCCGATTGATGAATCTACATTTACACAACAGAATATTCAGCAAATAATATAAAATAAGCAAATCATATCCTGGTAACTTTGCACACAAGGACACAAATTCATCAATAAACTCTATGAGACCAAGTTTAAAGCATGTAACATTCAAAATCAGATATGATGTGAACTACTTGGCCATCTAATTACCACTATTAATCATTTTTGCAGAATAAACAGCATGTCAACTATATACAAATGGTTGCATCAGAACAAAATGTGCTCATAAAGAGGCAAGTGAAACTAATGTCTAAAGTTGAGGGATGAGACCGTTTATAAAAATGTAAGCATTCCTACAAATCCGCCTAACCAAGCAAAATTGGCAAAAAATATTGGTGAGAAAAGCAAACCAATTAACAAATAGTGGAAGCAGATGATAGAGGAGGCCTCCTTGATGGTAGAGGAAAAGCAGACAACATTAGTCAAAATATAATTATATCCCCTTCTCATTTGTGGTTAACTGAATCAACTAAACAAAGTGATCACAATATAATTTTTGCGATATCCGTAGGAAGATATGATCATATGACAAGCTAAAATAAAAATGAATTGTAACATCTCTAGGATAAAAATAAAGAAAAAAGAATATATCAAATATACGTGAAGTGGAAGCAAAAATGTAGCATGCACATCAAAGATTTTCATATGTTGATTATGGATTACTAACACAAGATAATGTTGCTGTACTAAAATCTTGAATTTGTAAGAGTAAACACTAGGAATGATGACAAAGGAGCAATCAAAAGTAAGCTTGATGGATGGTCAAGCTACTAGAAACCGATTTAACTTGAAAAGTTACCCTAGGCGATTTAGTAAAAAAGGTTGGTTGAAATAAAAAAACTGATACATACGGGATAAAAAATATCAACTTGGGATTACCTTCGTTGCTTTCCAAAGACCCCGTTGCAAAAAAATAAAAATAAAAATAAAAATAAAAAATAATATAAAAAAATAATAAAATGGTGGAATTAGTACACCCATTCGAACAAATTACATGACCGTTACACTTCTCAATAATTTTTAAGAGTCTATAAATCGCGGAATAAGTATCAACACAACTAAAGTTACACTACTAAAAAATATGGCTTAAGGCACGAATTTTTTGTTCCTAAAACCTTGATATCCGTTGCTATTGCTCTTTACCAACGGAATATTTGTAACCACAAATCCGTTGTTAATTTGAGGGTCGCTGATAGTGACTAACAGATTGTACCGTAGGTAAAGAATAAACATTTTATCAACAAAAATTCCATTGGTAATGTGTAAATTTTTTACAACGGAATTTTCGTTGGTAAAAATCTTAACCAATACCAACCGACTTTCCGTAGGTAAATGTCTACCATTACAATTGGTAAAAATCAATGTTATAAATAGTCGTATAGGTGTGAGGCATGGTAAAGAAAAAATTTATTTATTTATTATTGTTATTATTATTTATTTAATAATTATAATTTTTTAAAAACTTTTAAACAATTGAATTGGAAAGTCAAAATATTGTTTAACCAGTTATTGGACCACAAAGTTATAAAGGACAACTCCAAAGACTTTGTTGTAAACTTCCGATGTGGGATACTTAAATTACTTTTATCAACGGATAATTCGTTTTTAATTACCAACAGAATATCCATAGGTGAAATATTCAAATGTTAAATGGTCATATTAGGCACAGAATATTCGTTGGTAAAGAGATATTATCATTATCAATGGAAAATCCGTTGCTCATTATCGTAGTTGAAAGTGAATTACTTTTACCAACAGATAATCTGTTTCTAATTACCAACGGATTGTTTCCGTTGGTAATATTTGGTACGTTACCTACGGAATATCCGTAGGTGAAAGATCAAAATGTTAAATAGTTACATTAGACACGGAATATCCGTTGGTAAAAAGGATATCATTGTTGCCAACGAAAAATCCGTTGCTGATTATCGTAGTTGAAAGTGAATTATTTTTACCAATGGATAATCCGTTTCTAATTACCAATGGATGCAATCCGTTGGTGATTTTTCGTAGATGAACAACTGTTTTTTAGTAGTGTTAACCCTAACTGAAAATATTTTGTATGAGCAATTGAAATTACAACTAGGTTTTCTAGCAAGATATGGCAAGAGTAAGTGCACGCATATTTCTTTCTTCTCTCATATGGACACACACATGCCAACTTGGACAGTGCCAACACATTTCATCAACTGTTGGATTGCATTCACACAGAGCTAATATTTTTCATTTATTGTCGCACAACGGGAAAATAATAGAAATACATTCTAATGCAACTAAGGCGTTGTGTGACGAGAAAAGGGCTAAACAACCAGAATATAATTTGAACTTCGAGGCTCACCTTTTCTAATTTTGAGAAGAATGATTAAAAACTTGTAAACCACTATTAAAATGAAAACAAGTATAGTAGAACATTGATATATAGAGCAAGAAGCAAAATTCAGGAGGATTGGATATTAACCCAAAAAAAAAAAAAAAAAATTTGTCTTCAAATACCTCGGAAGAATTCAGACGCTGCTCCCAGTCTCTAAACACGCTGACTTCACACTTCTTGAAATGGTTTAATGCAAAGACCTTTGGCAGAACAAAATCTATCTTTCATAATTTACCCAAATGAAATATATAAAACAGGTTATGCAAGGTAAAGAAAGATACAAAGTAGACGCCCACATGATTAGCATGTCATTGTAGGAGAAGGCATACTTTATTTATGTACATAGTTCAAAGTTGTTATATACATTTCAACATGTCGAAAAGGAAAAGAGAGTTAACTGAAAGTGGATACATCCAGGATAAGAATCCTCTAGTTGAAACATACTCAGATTTAACAAAATATAGAGAACAACATTTCACCATATTGTTACCTAGATATCTATACATTTAACTAGAAAATGAAAGCATTGGCATTTTTCACTTGATTATATAGATCTATTTCTTTAAATTTCTGTTAAATTTTATGTCAGGATGTACTTGGTTCTTCTGCCCACCTCTGGCATCTTGTTCTAGGCCTATCTCTTGGCGGATCACCCAACCTTTCAAAAACACTTCTAAACCTTGTTGGTTGGTGCTCTTGCTCATAAACCAAAGGATATAGGGCCTTTCATATTGTGCATTCCCCATTAGAAGGCTTGCAGCATGGGCTTGAAAAGTGTTCTTATATACCTTTGTTATTGGATGGTTGTCTTTCTTATTTAGGGTTTCATCTTTTGAGATTCCTATTTATACCTTCTTCAGCTAGGTGTCGCCTTTAAGGTCTCCCAAATAGGGCGGCGAATTCTCTTAGGGGAATTTGCATATTTTGGGCATCTGTATACCATGTAATACATTTATAGGAAGGTCTATATAGAGACTTGGTGAGAAGCATTTTGCTTTGCAGTTTGCTTCATATGTGCAGTGACGTCGTTCATTTCTTGATATATATGGTTGGAAAATATAGTGGGCCTCCTTCCTATTTCTGAAATCTTCATGTACAATCCTTCTAGGATTTGCGTCTCCGTCACTTCCACTCATCCTTTTACAAAGTTAGTTCTATTAGAGAATACAACTTCCTCAAGTTTAGGGTCGCATTTGGTAGGCTTTTCACTCGAGTCTTTCATGGTTAAATGTATTGTTTCCTTAGACTACGCTAATATGTTGACTTTTGAATCTGGATATACCTAGCTTGTCAACATATCTCGCTTCCAATCTAATCCATGTAATAGTTACCTAGACACTTGTAACATACGCGTTAAGGGCATAAGACCAGAACCTCTCTAAATAAAGGCTAGAGAAGCTGTGATAATACGCACTCTGAAACTCAAGTTAACTAAAAAGGTCAGCAATTATCGAAGTCGAGACGCTCCTTATGATCACCTTGGACATGGTAAGGCACGATCTTTAGCATGTTGAAGTTTGGGAGAGAAAACTTGATGTTATATCATTGAGTAAGTTATCATCGCTCGTGATTAGCTTATTAGATCGGTCCCAATCAGAAATCCACTCCGCTGCACAAATACGAAGACCTCTTGTAATGCTATTGCCTCATTATCCTCGACAGACAAAACTTGAACACTATCTTTCTTAAAGCCACCACCACATTGTCAAACTGATCTCACCGCCCTATTATGTTCATCCCATAGAGACCACTATAAGCACCATTTTTGCTCAAAGTTGGGGCCTGCAATAAGGCCACAAAAAACACATGCCTAAGGAATATTCGAATTTTTGAAGGCACAGCCAATTTATAGAGTGGATGACATGATATGCTTCTTGAAGATCAAGACTTTACAAGTATTAATATTATCTCTGTACTTCTTTTAACACGAAATTAAAACTTGTAGAGAAGATAGGCGAGTCAAATGTTGTGGAGTCAAACTACTAGTGGATAACAAAAAAATTTGTTTCAATAACAAAAACCGTGTTCATATTTTAACCGGTCCTCTAATTCACAATTTCATAGAGGACCATTGTATTTATCATCAAATGAATACTACCCTAAAAAATGTAGAAAAATATATGAATGAGAGAGGTGAATAATGTCCCTAAAATCAAAGTAAAACACACAAGCTGTCACGACGACGAGGAATATGGCAATAATGGGGACTGGTTGGCCACAAACACGAGTAGTGTATTGGTCGAAAATCGTTAGAAAGAAATAATGTTTAAAAAAAGAAAAATCTAAAAGTTTATTAATCAATTTTTTAATAAATTCGGTGTACTGGGCCTATTTTATCATTTTTATTTTTGCTTCTCATAAAAAGTTTCTGAAAAAAATTTCGTTTAGACCAATAATTTCTTAATTTACCATTTTCTGATTTTTAAAGAGTTTTTCACCTTTCCCCAATCAACGACAAACGAATGGAAGGGGCAGAAGGGCAGAGCTCTACACCGCCACGAGGGGTTCCACCGTCGCTGCCGGGGCCACGCGCCGTTAGATACTCGCTGCCACCGGCCCGATTGTTCAACGAGGACATACTGTTCTGCATCGACGCAGGCCCAGAAACAATGGTGGAGATGAAGGTGGCTGCGGGACCTAATGGTCGACCCTTCACGAGACTGGAGTCCATAAAGCAGGCCATACTTCTATTTATTAACGCTAAGCTCACTATTAACCCAGATCACCGCTTCGCCTTTGCCGCTCTGACAAAAACGTTTTCATGGGTAATTTCTCGTTTCTGTTCATTCTCATTTTCTATAATTAGTGCTAGAAAGCGATACAAATTAATACATTTGGTATAATAGAAGTTTGCACTACCGGAACTGGATTTGGCGACTCGTAGGTTGGGGGAGTATGAGTAGAGGTTTTGATTCAATGATTCCAGGAGTTGGTTTGAGTTAACAGTTGGTACCCTTGACCATTGAACCAACCCATTAGGGTCTAGTAAAATCGTGTTCCATGCTCTTATAGTCCGATTTTCAATATTAGCAAGTTACAAACGTCACTGATACATTCGGCCTACTAGTCTGTAGTTTTCTTTGGCTGATTATCTGGGAACTCGCCACATTGATCTCATTTTCTGTATTTAACAAGGTATAAAGTTCAAAACTTGCTCAAAATTCCATCTGTAGATACCTCAATGTTTGGTGAAGAGGGTCCAACTGGACGGTATCAAAAAAGAAAATAAAGCTGAAATCTTGTACATTTCGATGTTCACTCTTGTGGTACTAATACTCTTGCTAAACTAGATATAAATGTTTTTAACCTTCCTTGTATGAATGCCTAGAGAGTGAGTCTTTTTCTTCCTCGCATATCATTTCCTTGCCTTCTCCGTTTCTTTATTATCTTGTTAAAAGTCTTGACTCGTATGAGTTTTGATTGCATTTTCCTTTTTTTTCTCAAAAGCTGAGTATTAAATGGTAATGTACCGCAAATTTCTGCCTGCAAGACGAGGTACTAGAGTTTAAGCATGATTTACAGGATTTATACTTGGTAACTTGAAGTTCAAAAATATTGTAACTTTATCTGTGACTGGATGGGAACTGTTATATCATTTTTTATTTTCTAGTGGGTGTGTTGCGCATTATGCTGGAAGGGACGTGTCCTGCTCTACACGACAAGGTGGCTGAAATTACTGTTTAGTGTTTTGTGATGCAGTGTGCAAGGCATGTTGAATCCCAGAAAACAATATGTATCTAGTTCACTTTTAACAAACTGTCCATTTATTGCTTGTGGTATCCCTTTAAATTTCATTGGTGTTCAAGTATTATTGACACAGATAAATCTGATTTATCCTTGTGTTTCTTTTGATATTGAAGCTACGGAAAGAGTTCAGCAGTGAAGTTGACTCTGCAACTGCTGCATTGAGGGGAATATCTGTAGATTCATCTGCTAGTCATGCAGATCTCACTCAACTATTCCGAGTAGCAGCTCATGAGGCTAAAAAATCTCGTGCACAAAGTCGGATCTTCCGGGTGGTAAGTGTTCAGTTCACCAGAGCTCATTCTTTAGATTTTCCTAATAGACTGCATCAGGGATTCTTTCTAACAGTTTTGTGTTCTTATGTTGGGAAGATTTTGGAATGACAAAGCTAATGCTAATTTGTTGACTAGTTCATTGCTTGCTGCTTTGGAATATTTCCTTGTACACCTACTTGTCCGGCTCTAATTGTAGTAAAACAATGCAACAGCTTTGTTGATAAGTATCATTCATTTCCTATTTCAACAATAGAATGCAACAGCTATGTTAACAAGTATTTTTCTTTTCCTATTTTGACAATATAATTGTCCAAAGGTTGAAGTATTGAAGTACGGAACAAAAATTGTTGCAATGTGGACAGGTCAGTAAGCAATATGTAGTGTGGTCTTTGAATATGGTTCTCATGTTAAGATCGAAATATGTAAATTGTTAATTGAAAAGCCCTAATTGGCGTTGTAATGAAAAATAAAAATTAAAAGATTAAAAGACAGAATGTTCTTATTGTAGTAATAAATCACGTCATTTATCCGAAATATTAAATCACGAGAAACATGCTGTTGTAATATGCTGACAATTAATCACAAGTAGATGGACTTTCCATCAGAGAAACTGCATTTCTGCCCATAATCATCATAACCATAAATCAAATCAATCAACATTCAATACGCGGAAATTCAAATTGGAAGAATTCGAAAGTTAACTTACACTTTAGTTGATCCCTAAGGCATGGATTTCTTGTCATGAATTAAAGTTTGTATAAAGAGGAAATAGGAACAATCTTTTTTAAATTATGCAAAGAGAGGAGAAACACAGGTTAAATGGGATTAAAGGATGTCTTAATCGTGTGGCATACAGCTTAATTGGGGGGTTATTTTGGACAGTAAAGGAAAAACCAATGACCAAGATCTGAACCTAAAATTGACTGTAACTGATAGGATTTGAACAGGAACACCAACAAATTTTGGGTAACCAAAAATTTTAAATTAGGTGTTGGAGGCTCGAGAGCCAACCACAGGGCTCCAACAGTTAAAATTAAACAATCCCGAAAGATCTAAAGAACTGAATGGTACAGCTTCCATGTTTTATTTACAGTGTACTGTGAATTCAAATATGTATTTTTGTTCTGTTTTAAGATGCATATTCTTGCAAAGTTTGACGCAAAGTATTCTGTCATTCAGATCTTACTCTACTGTAGATCATCGGTATCGCCTCAATATCAGCTCCCAGCATCTCAGAAACTCTTCACATTTGATGCTGTTTATCTTCATGACAAGCCAGGACCTGATAACTGTCCTCAGAAAGTATATGATACCCTTGTGGAGGCCCTCGAACAAGTTAGTGAATACGAGGGCTACATATTTGAGAGTGGTCAAGGATTAACCCGTGTTCTTTTTCGTAACATGTGCCAGCTGTTATCCCATCCTCAGCAGCGCTGCGTGCAGGATGACTTTGACGTACCCAAGTCTCTGGTGAAGAAGCCTCCTCCAGCGGAATCAGCACCCACAGAGGAAAATACTGTTATATCAATTCAATGAAGCGTCAAGTTCTTAATTCAGCGCCTGTGTTTTGGATATGAAAATATGCTTCTAGGTTTCTGTAAAACACATGTTATTATATACAGTCTGTAACCTTTTGAATCAAGTTTGTGTAATGATGCTGTTAATCGATGTCGTGAAATTCTGAATTTGAATTTTTATTTGAGCACTCCTAAAAATGATGCAATATCGGATGGAAACTCGTGACATGTTTGATAGTAGAACCGAGCTGAGCGGACAGGCCTAGTTCTTACAAACCCTTTACAGGAGTCTCACATGGGAGGGGTTGGTTTTTTTTTTTTTTTTTTTTTTTTGTTGCACCGGGCCACGGTGATGCCGACCCATGTGAGTGAATATTTCCCCTGTACACCGCGATTTATTCTTGATAGTATGGATTGGACAGTGGTGGCAGCTTTAAAGAAGGGAAAAAGTTAATCTTGTGTTTGGAGTACATGCTCAAAAATGCACTTGACATACTTTTAAAGAAGTGGAGAAATTTTAGTGCGATGATAAGAGTTTGGACTCTGGTACATGTCCTTGGTTTTAATCATATTTGCCCAATTAAGAAAACAGTATGCATTGTGAAGAGAACATCAATTATTAGAGCTTATTCAACATTTCAACTAGAAAAGAAAATTATATAATATGATTAAGTATAATAAAAGAAATAATTTATGCAGAATAAATATTCTCCGCAAAATGGAGAATGAAGTTTGAAGAAATTTGAGATTTTGGTTTTATGATTAGATGTATCAATAATACTCGACTAGTATTTTATGTTTATTTGGAATATTTTTTATTTTTCTTAAGACTCTTGAACCTCAAATGAGGTTCAATTCCAATGGAGTAACCTTGTCGGGCTTTATGTTGAGAGCTTATCTAATTACCAATAATTAATATATTAATTTTAACTCGATCATTAAAATCAGGAAAAATTGCAGGAGTGGTCCCTAACTTTTTTTTTTTGCAGATTTTACCTTAACCTACATTTTGTGTCAATGGAGGTTCCTAACATTTCATAAATATGCACTTGAAGTCTATTTGGACGAAAACCGTCTAAAATACCGTCAGTTGATTGAGGAAATTAAGGAATCAATATCCAATAAAGCCGTCCAAAACACCATCAAAAAATGTATCAACATCTAATAAAACAATCGCGATAGTAAATAGTTCATGGAATTTTCACGGTCAACTGACAGTGTTTTAGACAGTTTCCGTCCAAATGGATTTCGAGAGCATATTTATGAAATGTTAGGAACTTTCATCGGCACAAAATGAAGGTTAGGGTAAACTCTGTAAAAAAAAAAGGTTAGGGACCACTACTGCAATTTTCCCTTAAAATTAATTTCTTTTCTGTCCTAAATTTGTTGGTATTCTACCGTAATAACGTCTCATCCTTCATTTACGTTAAAAACAAGTTTATATTTTAAATTTTTCTCTTGGCAATTAACATACCAAATTTTTTTTTTTAATTTTATAACTTTTGAGATTTATTAGATATTAATTCTTTTCCTTTAGTAAATATAATATTTTAGATAAATGTTAAATAATATTACATATTGCCATTAAATTTGAAATAAATTTTACAATAACACAATGAGATCATAAAAGTCAATGTCAATTTTAAAATTTGAATACAATGTCACTTTTGTTTATAAACTTCAATCTTCATCTGAAACACGAAAAAATAATGAAATAAAAATTTACTAGACATTTCACTAATTCTTTCTTAAATGCAATTAAAGGTAATTCTTTTAAAGTATACAACATTATAAAACCAAGCTTAAGAGTCATTATTATTTATTATTATCCAATTACATAAGGAAAGTCAATAACATTTTCGATTCCCCATGTATCCTACAATACCATATATAAAAGGTAACTGTATTTAAACCACGATTTTTATTTGTAGTGCTATCAATATTTGCTCATTGTAACACTTGTGTCCTAATTTTTTAGTCAAATTTTTATTTTCAACTTTTTATTAATTATTACTTCTCGTCTTTAATGATGATCTGTCCAAAAATTTTATTTGCGTGCTTTGAAATGTAGAAAAATATTGTCACTTTTTTGTATTTATTATTTTTTAAATATAATGGACAAATAATTTATTTTACACCCTCCTAGTGGACTTTCTAGACGAAATTATTACTAGAGACACCATATTTTAATTAATGAAGATTGATGTAACGTAAGTGCTACACTGAAAAAGAAAGAGGACCATAAGTACAACTATATAATGTGGTATAACATATAAAAGATGTAATATGCACATAATTACCTTATATTAAATTGCTCACTATATTCACTCCACATCTATTATAAATGAGTCATGCTTGGTGTATATATTGGTGTACACCCTTGTTTACATAATGCCATGCCACATGGCATTATCTCATTTGATAGTTTAAACAAAAATTGTTTTTTATCCAATGATTTTTTGACAATCCATATGTCATCAAGTGTGTACAAATTGGGGGTATAAATGGCACAGTCCGGCTACATTTTATTTACATAAAAGATCCTTAATCTTTATCCTTTTTCACATGTATATTCTTAACTTTATTTATATAATTTTATTTTTGTCTAAAATCACGCTTGTTGTCCAAAAATATTGTTAGTGTGCTATAAAAACGAAGGACGTATTTTATCGTAATTTTTTTATTTAAAAATGCGAGGGTAAATAAGATTTTTTTATTTTTTATTTTATTTTAACTCTCTTAACTAAATTTTTGGGCAGAAATCATCTTCATGGACAAGTACTCAATTTTGAGAATAAGAATGATATATAAAAAAGTAACAACATAAATGTAATAATGGTTACAAGCCTTTTATGCCATTAAAATGTGATATAATTATTATAGAAATATATTTAACCATTTACTATATTCACACTACATTTTTTTTATTTATTACACTACATTTTAATCTTATTTAAGTATCTCAATCTTCGTTTACAGTAACTCTTATGTCCCGAACTTTATTTTTTACGAATTCTTATCTCCGACATTTTATTAATTAGCACATCTCATAACTTGTTTGGTCATATTTAAAAAAAAATAAAAAGTCCATTTTTAAAAAAAAAAAAAAAAAAAAAAAAAAAAAAAACCCTATTCGAACGGTGCAACAAACTTGGCTAACTAATCAAACTAAGATGGAAAAGTTGTCTCTCTTCATGAGAGAGGGTAATTTTATTTGAGTAATATATTTACATCCTCATGGCCAATGCTATTTGCCACGGTAGAAGATGTATTATTACTAGGGTTCACGTATTAATACATGGATATTGGCTTGACATTGGTGCAGTATATATGGTGAAATTGGTTTCGAATGCTTATGAGCTCAAAGAAAAGTCAATTGTACAATAATTTTCTATCAAGTCTATTTTGACATGAGCTCTCAGGAAAGTCAAGTAGGGCAATCTTCATAATTTAGAATTTTTTAAATCGACTCGAGGAAAAGTGTAGATTTGATGTACAAATGTAATCTTCCTTCATTTTGTGCAACTAAGGTCATCTCCAACTATTGCACCAAAATTTGGGGTCAGATTTGCATCATTTTGATATAAATCTTGTACTAAACTAAAGATCCTCTAACTCAAATGCCAAAAGTTACATCAATTGAACAGCTTTTCATCTTTTTCTTCTTCTTCTTTTTTTTTTTTTTTTTTTTTTATTTTTTAACAATTTTTTTTTTCATTTTTCTTCATTTTTTTTTTTTTTAGTTCTTAACAATTTATTATCTCAAAAAAAAAGGGGGAGAAGAAAAAAAATTTACCACCAAAACCTGTGCTAAAAAAATCAACTTATTTTTATTAATACATAAATTTTTAAATAAATAAATACATTTAGTTAACAAAAACATTGAATTCATTAATTAATTTTTAAAAATGTAGTACATATAATACAAATACCATAATTAAGAAAACATAACATTCAACAACATAATATTAAAAAAAATATATGTACATTTTGAATTCCAATATCATGATATTATGAAATCCAAACTAGTATTGTCATTTAATTCACAAAATTATTATATTGATCTTACAATGATCAATTAATACATTTCCAGGTACAACTCAAACTTCATTATCTTTGATTTGTCTATGATAAGTAAGGAATTCTTGAAAGCGATAGTTTTCATCTTAAACCAATTCAACTTCTGGAGTTGGCACTTTCATCAAATCTTGAATTGTTGCATCAAGATTGCATTCGTCTTTGTTTATCATGTTTGCTCATGATTTTGATGACAATGAGAGAACCAAAAGTAATCTACCATATTATTAAATTATTGTTGTTTTGCATCATTTTGGGGTCTCCGTTGGAGATGTCTCTAAGCGTGTATCATCTAGAGCTTCAAACACTAGACCTTTTATTTAACTTCATTTTAGAAGTAGTTTGTAACATTTCAAAGAAATAAACTTGTGCATATTTGAACTTATAATATAAGCTCAAACATTGCAAGAGATAGAGCTCAAGCATTACAAGACTGAAGATTAATTAGCAAACATAATCACGAAGGCCCTATAATGAGCAAAATTCGAAGTACTGAGAGACATGATTAGAGTTATTGAAACACGCACCAAGGAGGAGTATTAATTATTGTTGCATATTTCTAGAATTCTCTAGAGTAACTTGGGAAGCAAGAAAGATTTAGTAGCTATAAGAATTATCTAAAATTTCTTAAGGACTAAGTAAGATAAAATAATAGAGAAATAAGAAATTTCTAGACTTCCTTAAGAATTAAGGAAAATTAAATAAACGAAAAGTAGGAATTATCTAGAAAGCTTTCACTTCCATTTCGTTTGCTATAAATAGGTGGTTGCCTTCCATTGTAACCAATTAGAAAGAAAAAGCTTTCAACCTCGCGTTGTAATAAACCCACTTTGTAAAATTCTATTCTAGTAAATTACAAATTCCTTCTTTCACTACCTAGTCCATTAAAGTTTATCCCTACTACTTTCTATACCAAAAAATTATCCCATACAAAGCCTACTATATCATTTACTCTAAACCCATTTATTTCTTTTATTCTAAATAAAAATCATCAGTGGTATCATAGCCACATTCGATTGATATTAGACATAAACATATACTATGGCAGGCGCTTTCCTTTCCTCAATTCATATCCCAACATTTAATGGAGATAACTATGAACT